AGCTAATGTAAGATAATTTAAATAGCTTGAATCTCGGAAATAATTTGAGTGCGATATTCTGAAGCGATATGAGAACATGGAATGGAGAATCGCGTGGAGTGAAGTGTTAGAATAAATGAAGGAAGAAAAAATGTAATAGGAGCAAAATATGAGTCGTTTGTTTCGAGTCATTATATACCCCAAATCCAAATTTGAGCAACGTTTCGTAAATTTGAATCTCCCGCAAGTGCCAGGAAAAGTTGATTCTACGGGTTCGACTGCCCTCTACAGCGAGATGGTTTGTTCTTACATACGTAATGCGGCATTTGGATGAAGGACCAGAGTAATAAGCGTAATACCTGAAGTCTTCCATCCAATGACCGTGGTATAGTGACACAATCAGTGCGCTGACGTCCCTCACATTGCAGTGCCATTTCAAGACTTGCCAGTGCCTCTTTATTGTGCTTTTGTAATTTCTTCATTAAACTATCAATTGCTTTCTTGGACCAACTCTCTTCTTCATCGCCTTAACTCATATCTTCATCTTACATTTCACTACAACGATCAATGTCTGCATGAGATGTCCGCATTGAAAAATAATGCACATTTGCAAACACAAATGATGACATGCATTATCGATGTTATTGATCGCATAATTAACCTTGTTTCCATCCAAGACGTTTTGCAACTGCAGTTCCATGTTGACCCAGTAGATTTTCGAATTTCATTTTGAATTAGTTTACAATCAATTCAGTGAGAACGTTCTCTCAACGACACTTTAACACATAATTCACGAGCCTGATATTTCAAAATTAGAACATCATTTTATGAGCTTTGTTCAGTGCTTGTTCAAGCAACTCATTTGTGCGATATGGAGAATGTTAACTTCATATGGCATTAATCCTACACTTACTGAATTTAAACAAGACGATAATTCATATCAAAATTATCGTGCAGAATAAGGAAAATATTTGAAAATTGACATATTTCAGTTGAACAAATTCTTATTCACACATGACGTTTGCCATCAACGAATAGATTTTTTCCAACTTGAAAATCACCATAATAATGACAGAAGAATTCAATTAAATTTCGATGATTACATATGTGCAACAAATTTTCCATGAATGACATCAACTGATTAATGACTGACTGCATCGGGCTAAGCGTAAGTCTAAGTTTAAGCATACTCCTGATCTGACTTCGAATTGTATATCTACAC